CCATGAGAAAACAGGAATAATAAGAATACTCCATAGATCGATTAGTACACATACAAATACAATGTGTACATTTTAGAGAGAGGGAAAATGAGATCCAGAAAGAGTAAGAATTTTGAATAGGCAGCACTTCACCCTGTATTCAAAATATCTATCCCAGCACTCTTCCAGTCACAGTATAATTTAGATTGATTTCTGAAGAACAAATTATCCAACAATGCTAGATAGTTGATTGCCCTTGATCAAGACTTTTAGACCCTTTTCAAATATGTAATAGTTTAAATGGTTTTGATCAATTCAGGCACCAATATACAAAATCAAATACTGAAAATTGTGTAAGAGAAGGCATGTAATAGGTCTACTCTTTTCTGTACAACAAATCAGAAGGAGTTCTGGTGTGGTACTGCAGGACATGAACTAGACTTAAAGGGGGCTTGAACAGTAAGGTTGACAATTCAAACTCACCAGCCACTCCTTGGAAACCCTATACAGGGTCACTGTGACTTAACTCAACGACACTTAACAACCACAAATTATAAAGTCTTTAGCAACTGAGAAAAAAAATATTGTTGCAAACTAAAAGTTTTAAAACTAACTGTTGTATAAAGACAAGATTCCTCACATTGGAATCACAAGTTTACAGACTTCTAGAAATATGGAGAACAGAAGGGTAGCTGGTGAACATCCATAGTCAGACAGAAAAATTTCATACCACAGCAGACAAGGCTTTCGAGGTCTGATCCTTCCTCTACATAAAACCCTGTTCGGTCTTTTTTTCTGTCTAGAGGAAGTCTCCCTATTCTTCTTACTCTTTTAATTCTCCTTGCTTTGGGAACACTTCCCCAACTCCCTTAGAAGGATTTTACCTTAGGCATATGTTTGATTTGAAGCTGGGTGATGCCAGTGGTTCACATGCTTAACTGCTGACTGAAAGGTTGTAGACTTGAGTGCATTGAGAGGTACCTCAAAAGAAAGCCTTGGTAATCTATTTCCAAAAACATCAGCTATTGAAGAAAACCTTATGGAGCACACTTCTGAGATACATGAGGTCACCATAAATTGGAATTGACTCAACAACAGTCTGGTTAAAGTTTGATTCACTGTACTGATGATATGTTATTACTTCATTGCTACTTGCCTCACAACAAGACACAACCCTATTACTGTAAAGTCAGGTGTGACTCATGGTAACCCCATGTTTTGCAGAGTACAATTGCTCCATGAAGTTTTCTTGGATATAATCTTTTCAGAAGCGTATCACCAATGGGTAGGTTCAAGCCACCAACTTTTATGTTAGTTATTGTTATTAGGTACCATAGAGGGCAAGTTCCAACTCATAGAGACCCATCATAATTCAAATACATCGATTCTAATGTCTTCCTTATTCACTGTCCAACTTTCACATGCATACAAGGCAATTGAAAATACCATGACTTGGGTTAGGCGTACCTCAAACTAACATCTCTGTTCTTTAACACTTTAAAGAGGTCTTTTGTAGCAGATTTGCCTAATGCAATATGTCCTTTGATTTCTTGACTGCTGCTTCCATGATTGTTGATTATTGATCCAAACAAAATGAATTCAGTACAAGCTGTTGGCACCACCCAGAGATCTACTTGTGATCGCCCGTCTCCTAATATGCAACCTTTTAAATTACAGGAGAATATTAAAAGTACCATTGAGTGCTAAAAGTATAAACAGATACAGATCTTTTCAGAAGGAGCACAACTAGAATGTTCTGCAGAAACCAGGATGGTTCTCATACTGCCAACATATTATCAGGTGGAACCAGTCCCCAGAGAAGAATATCATGTTTGGTAAAGTGGAGGGTTGAAAAATAAGAGGAAGACCCACAACGAGATGGGTTGGCACAGTGGCAGCAGCAATGGGCTCAGGTGTAGCAATGACTGTGAGGTTGGTGCAGGACAAGGCAGTATTTCGTTCTGCTGTGCATAAGGTTGCTGTGAGTCAGAACTGACTCCGTGACACCTAACAACAACAACAAAATACAGGAAATGTCCTTCTCCCCTTGCACACGTAACAATTACCATGCATTTAACATTACAAAGAATCCTATTTATAGCATCTATTTTTCATTAAATAATCATATTCTTGCATTATATTTATGAACACTGAGCTTTGAGAGGTAAGAAATCGTCCATCACCAAGAATCAAGGAAATGCCAGAGCTCAGATAACAAATTATGCTCTCTCTTTCCCAGTTCACCAACTCATAAGGGAAAAGGATTGGCATTGTAGAAACTGAAGTAAAAACTCACTCTTCTTGGCTACCTGCCTAACTTTTTACTCAAAGTCTGACTGCTATACTGTTTTGCTGGCAACGTCAGTTTTCCTCAATAACAAAGACTTCCCAGTTTAGAACATATACTTATGTGGGGTAATAGGAAAAGTGAGTAAAAGTCCAACATGATAAACAGGGAAGTATGTCAAACTCCAATTCAGACTATGAAAAACCTACTCATAATTCTGCCTTTGCTGCTTTAAATATGGAGAGAAGGCATAGCTCATTTGGAAAATCTGACCAAAAGCCACATTTCAGCACAGTGAAATGCTTTATCCCCTACTGCTCCTTCCACACTAGGAATATTCTATATGCAATTATTTAATCCCCAGCCAAAACCTAGTAGACAATGAAATCCCCACAAAATGTTTCCCCCACAGTATCCAAACATCAGTTCCACAGAAAACAATATTAAATGTGTTACATGTAATTCTATGCCAAATTTTTTTTTTCATGGACAAAAGTTGCCATATTTAAATATTCATTGTTATGAGCATCTGACAAAATAGAGCTCCATCCAACAATTTACACCACTTGACTATGGTACCAAGGAAAGGCATAGGCAAAAATTTCCAGTTTCATTGTGTTTTGAATTTTAAACCTTCTTTTTCCATTTCATGGTGTTGGGTGTCTTTATTGTGCTATTTTCCCCTACTTATTGCTATTGGATTCTTCAAAAATTCTTTGGGATTTTATCAGTGACTCACTATGAACTACAAAATGAAGTCATTAATCATATGTTGTTGCTGCTTTCAATATTTTCTAAATTTTGCCTTAAACCAAAGCACAGGCTGTTCCTAGGTTATAAGCAAGATCTGTTCCTAAGCCTAAGACCAGTGTTTAAGTAAGTTCTTAAGACTTTTAGAATATTTAAGTAAATTAGAACAGGTGCATAATGTTTTGAATTCACTAGACGTTGCCCAGGAGAAAGATGTGGCAGTCTGTGTAAACCTTGAAAACCCTATGGGACAGTTCTACTCTGACCTATAGAGTCATTAAGAGTCAGAATCAACTCCACCGCAATGGATTTAGTTTGGTTACTGCAAAGAAAAAGCTCAAAACATTTCAAGTGTTTTAAAAGCTGCACCTGCCAAAAAATTTGTTCTGAGTCGGTTCAATCATTTCTAACCACTGCCCTTCGGTGGATTCCGGCTCAAAGTGATCCTATAACACAGAGTAGAATTGTCCCCAGAGTTTCCAAGAGTGTAAATCTGTATGAAAGCAGACTACCACATCATTTCCCCCAAGACTGGTGGGTTTGAACAGCTGACCATGCAGCCAAACACTTTAACCCACTGTGCCAGCAGGGCTCCTTAATCATTTCAAAATGAAGTGAATTTATATAACGTTAAAGAGCAAGTACCAGTTGACTGTAAGCCAGACATTGCTAACCTGGGAACTACCTGTAAAGGCCATCTGCTGGGAGGTAACAATTGTTTCAATCTCTTGGTTAAGGCAGAGAGAGAAGAAATTAATACTAATCTTTACTGTTTAAACTGAGCAAATAGCTTTAACTTTCCAGTCGCAATGGGCTTTTTGGCAAGGCTTTCATCCTTGCTACGTTTGCCCACCAACAGATTGAAGTATAAACTATTGCCAGAAGATTTAAAACAGAAAAGATATGTCAAGTGGTAGAATAGTAACTCATTGAATACTGATTGACTTATCATGCGATTCATTAGTCAAGTACCTAGACTTTCAGTTTATTCCTTCTTTACCGATGTTTTTCAAGGAGCTCTGGTAGCGTTGTTGTTTTGTGCTGTGGAGTCGGTTCCGACTCATAGCGACGCTGTGTAGGGTTTCCGAGGCTGTAAATCTTTACGGGAGCAGAACGCCTCATCTTTCTTACGAATCGGGCTGCTAACCCCAAGATCAGCACGAAACTACCAGCTGTTCCTCGGGATAAAGATGAGGCGTTTTGCTCCCGTAAAGATTTACAGCCTCGGAAACCCTGTGCAGGGTCACTATGAGTAACAACAACAACACCCTTGTCTCTCAGAGTACTGGTACGGCGCTGTGGGTTAATGTTCCTGACTGCAAAGCCGTTTGAACTAAAGGTCGGTGGTTCAAGGTCACCAGCCGCTCCTTGGAAGGGTAGCTACGGGTTGGAACCGACTCTACGGCACTTAACAACAACACAACCCTTGTCTCTCACTGCAGCTTAATAAGCAGTTGTCCAGGACAGTTGCGGATGTGTTTAAATTCTGGAGAGCTCTCAGAATGTAGTCCCCTGGATAAGTGCTCTTACAACTTTGAGGTTGGACATTTGGAAAGTTAAAAAATAATAGATGAGGAACTGGGGGTGGAGGACAAACATGGAGGAGATTCAGCAATGATCAGATTGTCTTGTTTTTCAGTCTAGCAAAAGACCTCCTGTGGTGTGCTTATTTTGGGAAACCCTGGAGAACAAAAAGAAGTAGATGCAGTGGGAAGAAATTACAAAGAGGCAGAGTTTCAAATGCATACCTAGAAGGGAAAAAACATGTATCCATTCTATTAGCCTTTCCATTGACTGACTTTAACTACCCTGGAGCTGTTCCATCCTAGGCGAGTACTGTAGACTTCTGGGTGGTACAGACTAGAACAAAGTTCCGCGGGAGCACGTGGAAACTGGAGGAGGTGCATGCAAATCAGCTTGATCAACGCGGGGGAACCCTATGAGTGGCAGAGGGAGGTTGAGAGCTGTGAAGAAAGATGCTTACCAGGCCACCTCCACAAGTGCTGACAGAGGCCAGCGAGCCGGGGTGCTGCAGCACCACTCCGGTATAGAAGCAGGAGGAGTTCTGCGGCGAGGGAGGGCGTGGGGTTGAAGCTGCTCCCGTGGGGCTTGGGCTGGGGCCCGGACTCGGCCACTGTTCCACCGCGAAGCGCGGCGCCAAGAAGCGGCCGTCTCTCCGCAGCAGCAGGTACAAGTCCCGGGAGAAGGCCGGAATCCTCAGCAGGACCTCGTCACTGTCAGGCTCAGCATCCTGGGCCGGGGACAGGGATGGAGGCGGCTGTGGAAGCGGTGGCGACTGCCACGAGGCCAGGGCGCCCAAGGAGAGAGCGGCAGCCCCGCTAGATCCACGAGGCAGCTCCTGCGACTCGAGATCTTCGTCCTCCTCACCTTCCGGCGGCGGCGGCGTGGACTGGGGCTCTGGCTGGCCCTTCAAGGGTTCCTCAGGCTGTGCCTGGGCCACTGAGCGCACCTCGCGAGAGCTGCCGGCCGCCTGCACCCGGGCGCCCCCGCCACCCCCAAGGCCTCGCACCCAGCTGGTGTCCGTGCTGCCCCCGCTGCCTCCCACCGTTTCCATTGGTTCCCGGCGCCAGAGTGCAGGAAACACGACTTCCCACTCTTCGCTGTCGGTGGCGAACTGCAACCCTGCGGGCGGGGCAAGCAGAAAAGTGCGGGTCTTGAAGGGCCACAGTTCCAGTAGCAAAAGCATTCCCAAGCACACATTCCGTCTAAATACAAGGCATATGCGTTACTGCAAAGGGACCACCCGTATACCTTCTGAAACTCCTGCAACACGAGGGTCTGTGATAAGATTAATAATAAAAGTACGATTATATGGGGGGTGGGCGGGAGCACAGCAAACTTTTGTGACAGCACCTAATTACTGGTGCAAAGGAAAACTGGAGCAATTACTCTAGCACAATGAAGTGTTTTTCTTAAAGCAAATCATCGGTACGTTTCTTCAATTTTCCTCCAGGTGTTAAAAATGTACCTGCAAAGGTTACTACTCTTCAATGGGGAAAATCGATTCATTTTACACATGGCAAAAACAAGACCGGGAGACGTGTGTTTCGCTCACGAGTCTTACTCCCTCAAACACACCATCAAGCTCATTTGTATTGCTACCCACTGAGCCCCGCGCAAGGGCTACACTATCTCTGCCTTTAATGCTTTCTCCGACTCCGCTCGGGAAGTTAGGATACGAACCGAAAAGTTTACGGTAGAACTTACCTGAAACGAACCCATTCGACAAGAAGCCCAGCTGGTAGAAGAGGCAGCAGCAGCAGATGTGGGTCAGGCGCATCTCACGGCTCTTCCCCATGCTGCGCTCCGGCGACCGCGGTTTCTCGCCCTGTGCGCGCCTCCTAAGCGACCGACCGTGGGCGCTGCCGCCTCCCCGGAGCGCAAGAAGGCCGGGCGGCGAGTTTGCCCAGGCCCTTTGTCTGCCGCGGGAGGGGGGGGTGGGAGGGTGGTGTGAGACTCCCTCACGATGAGGCTGCCAGAGCACTGACGGGGGTAGGCTGGGGGAAAGGAGCGGGAGGAGGCAGAGCCGGGACCCGGCTGTGCTCGGGGGGGTTCCCTGGTGAATTAGGTGATGCGCTATTTTCTGTGTTGTGGAGGTTGCAGGAATTTCGGGAGCCGGGACTGACGAGAGCCGGAGCCCCAAAGGACAGACCTACAGTCAGAGAACAGCGGGAAGCGCCTCAGGACCGGAGGAGAACTGTCCGGCTGGGACAGAAGCTCGGTGGTGTAGGAGCTCGGCCGGCCGTCCGCACCCGCGCGTAGCAGGCGGAGGCTGGTGCTGCAGTCTCAGCAACTGGGGGTGCAAAGGCTCCGCACACTCATCAGTTTCTCAGTGCTAAAGGCTCTTACCGCAGCAACGCGGGAGGGAATTGGCGAGCGTGTGGGGGTCGAGGGGAAGTAGGCACTCTTGAGGTGGGATGTGGAGGAGAAGGGAATCAATCAGAACCGACGACGAGAAAAAGTGGTGCCCACCAGCCATGACGTTGCGGGACAAAGGTCCCAGAACACCGCACACGTGCTCACACTCGGGGTTGGGGAGGTGGGGACCCAAATTCCCTCACCTGACTCCTGATTGGCCACTTTAGGAGACCTGATTTGCATTGCTTCCCCCGCACCACCAGCGGAGGTGCGTGCAGGTAGAAGTGCCTCCCTTTCCCCACCCCACCTCTTTCCTCCGACTCCTCCTTTTGTCCACTTCTCCTCCTCCCGCGCTCTCTGCAAAGCAAAACCTAATGCTGACTAGAGCACAAAGCTGCGTCTCATTTACCAGTCTTTGATTTTCCTTCCCATTTTTCTCTCTCAGTGTTTTCTAAACCCGGAGATAATGTAATTCGTCATGGAGTGTTCTTCAAAGGTTCCCAGGACAGTAGACACTCTGACATCTCAAAGCTACTTATCCCACTTTACCTTTCTGGCTCCCAATCCATCTGTGCTCTCTCTCTCTCACACACACACAGAACTGCTCATGTAGTGACGTGAGGAAAAACTTTATTAAATGTTTTATTATAAAAACTCCGACAAGATAAAATTGTTTCTTTCATTCTTTTTTGGTATTTCTGTCTTTATTGCGTAATCTGTTGTTGTTGTGAAGTGTCACTGAGTCGGTTCTGACCCATAACGACTCTGTATAGGGTTTCCGAGGAGCGGCTGATGAGTTTGAATCACCGAACTTGCAGTTCAAACGGCTTTGCAGTCTGGCGCATTAACCCACAGCGCCACACCAGGACTCCTATTGGGTAATGAAGCCCCCAAATATTCTTGCTTCATTTGTTTTGCAGCTCTTTGCACAAACCACAAGGTCGGCAGTTCAAACCCACCAGCTGCTCCTGGGAAATCCTATACAGGGTTGCTATAAATTGGAACCCACCCACTCAGCAGCACTTAACAACAACTTCATATCACTTACTCCCGTTCCACCCTCTCCCTCCTCCACATCAAACCATTCCTGTAGGACTCAAAAAGAATGATCCATCTAACATGCTTTGCACCTCTGGACTAGGCCAGACACTTAGAGATAGGAGTTAATGCAAATCAGTTCTTTTTTTTTCTTTCTTTCTTTCTAGCACTGAGGTTTGTTCCCCACATGCTTTGTTGTTTTACCTTCTGTAGCTCATGTCAAAGGTGACTACTATGCCTTTAAAGGAGGAAGGCGATCTTATTTCAAAGAAAGTCATTGTTTGACTAAGCTGGGTCCTAGAATACTTTCTTTGAGTAGTCCAGAATTTAAAAACAAACACAAAGGCACTCTAGATGTGCTTGTCTATAGTGTTATCTCTAAATAGTGTCTTGTAAAATCTCCAAAGCTGGAGTAATTGGGTATCTGGGTTTGCTGATACTCAAAAAATATCTGGATTGCTTAGGAACCCACATACTTCATTCTGTGCAATTTACATACACCAATTTAAAACTAGGCAAAAAAAAAAAAAAAAAATTAAGGATGTCTATTTTTAAGTACAAGTTATTAAGTTTAAAGGCTAGACTCAATGAAACCACTCCAGTAGGCTATGAGTCTTAACATATTTCTCATAGGTATCTAACAAGAGAGAAGAAAGCAAAACTGTAGAATGGAATGTATATTAAATTGCATATATTTATTAAAACACATTTGTGATTCCCTAAAATTAAATAGAGCACTGCTGTGGTGCTGTAGGATAAGCACTAGACTGTTAGCCACGAAGTCAGAAGTTCAAACCTACCAGCTGTTCTAGGGCACCCCACACATGGTCTCTATGAGTCAAAACAGACCCCACAGCAGGTAACAACAATGACAATAACAAAATTAAATAAGTTGTGTGATTAAGTTAAAAATACTCAAAGGCATAGGTTATCTAGTTAAATTCCCACATAGTTTTTTATTTTGTTCAACCTAATCTCTGGAGTCCTGGTGTAGCACTGTGGGTTAATGTGCTAGACTGTAAAGTCAGTTTGAACCACAAGGGCAGAGCTTCAAGCTCACCAGCCACTACTTGGAAACCCTATACGGGGTCTCTGAGTTGGAAACTAGTTGACAGCATATAACAACAACAACAACAGCATGCCTAATCATCACCAATTCTCGTGGTGGTTGTAGTGTGCTGTGGAGTCAGTTCTGACTTATAGCAACCCTGTATAGATAGGGTTTCTGAGAGAAAGGCTGTAAATCTTTACAGAAGCAGAAAGCCTCATCTTTCTCCCTCAGAACTGCTGACAATGAGATTAGCAGCCCGACTCATAACCACAGCACTGCCAGAACTCCTAATCCTCGTGGTAGAGGTAAATATTAATTGTTACAGGAAATGCTGTTTTATTTATTGGTGTATTTTCAAAAGCTCTTGTAAAGTATTTAGGTAGGAATGAATTGCATACTTTTGATTTCTTCTATGAAATTATGTTTTTGAATGGTAGGAATGATTTCTTTTACATATCTTTGTTTTATTTTTTGTTTAAATCATCAGTGATCTAAACTGAGTAGAAATAATAAATCTCAGGCAATTCTTCAAGATGCTTTGGAAGGTGATGGAGATTGATTTTTCTTTTTATGAAGTTTTATTCTAGTTTAAATTCCTTGATGTATAGCTATAACACTAGCTTGGTTGGTGATCAGCCACCATCACCAATATTTGCAAGCACAAAAGAGAAATTATGTGTGAGAAAGTTCTGTAACCTAACTAGAAAACACTTCAATATAGAAATAATAGCATTAAGTAAGTTGTGTTTTTATACATATGTACGTGGGGGCATCAAAAAGTTCATGGAAAATGGAATTAAAAGATAATGGAATTTTTCCATAAGGTTTTGGAAGCCCCCTCGTATATGAAACAGATGAAGCTTTCTGCTCCCATAAAGATTCACAGCCTCAGAAACCCTATACAGGGTGGTTATAAGACGAACCTACTTGATGCCAATGAACAACATCCGTGAAAGAGAAAACTAGCCTGATTTGGTAGTGAATAAATTGTGTGTGGTAAAAAAGAGGAGAAAATGCAGGAGTGTGGCATGTGTGTACTTTGCCAACCTTAGAGGAAAGAAAAGAGCAGCTGGGAAAAATATGTTGGTTAAGACAGGTCACTACATATGTCACCATATGGTAGCAAGCATCAACTAAGTCCTGATTTTGTGTTCGCAGAGCAAGAATGGGGAGATGGGAGAGGGTAAGTGACAAAGCATCAGAGTAAGTGGAACCAACTGTTTTTCATAAACTAGGTACTCTCACATGTTGCATTTTATAACCAAGATTCTCCATATAGAAAGTTGACTTTGATACCTTCTGTCCTTCATTCATTGGCATGAAGTCTGTCATAGTCTAAAACTCTAAAATCCTGAACATTTTTATCCCTCTAAACCTTAATAGGAGAGCATGGATCTCTCCTATTAAGGACATATGCACTGGACTGTGAACCACAAGGTTGGTGGTTCGAACCCACCATCTACTTAGTGGGATAAAGATGAGGCTTTCTGCTTCAGCAAAGATTTACAGCCTTGGAAACCCTATGTTGTTGTTGTTAAGTGCCATTGACTTGGTTTGATGCATAGTGACCCTTTCTAGGATTTCTGAGGAACAGCTAGTGTGTTTGAACTGATGACCTTGGGTGCTGGTGTCAGCATACGCAGACCCTGGGTTGAACAGTAGCCCTGTGACATGGACGAAAATCCAACCCCGTGGCCCTCCTCAGGATAGTGAGCAATGGACCCTGAGGGCCAAGGAAGTGACCTCCTGATGTCCCGGGTTCATTGGTTTTTGCGAACTCACTGGTTGGCTACCTCTGTATAATTTTCTTTGGTCCTAATATTGTTCATTCTATGCTTCTAACTCCAGTAATTGTAGCTTCTGAGAAAATGGTTTCTTTTACAATGCCTCTC